GACAAATCCGTGGAGGATGCGCACTCTCCATTTCTGTTCGCGAGTTAACACGTATTTTTATATGCACAAACGTACTTTACTGCGGTTAAAAAAAATGTGGTTTAACTTGAGAGATATAAAGGGCATTCGGGAAGAATACTGTACCAGTGAGGTGTATGATATTTAAAGCTGTCATTGAACTGCGCTTTTGGGCCCAGTGAAATGTTCATGATTGTCCTCATGATAAACCCAAGGGTGCAGTATAGCAATAGCAACGGACTGCCTTGTTTTTCTTAAAACCGTACTGTACGTATTTTACCCTTTGTCCCGTCAGCTCTCTTCAGCGGGAAGAAAATTCACTGACAGTGACAGGACTTTGCTCAACAACCCTCCGTGCATGCGTGTGAGCAGATACGAGTGGATCTCTGCTGCTCTGTCTCTGGGTCGGTGTGAGCAGGCGGGCACCATAGCTCGTGCTGTCACTGTTCCAGGGTCACCAATCTAGCCACACAGAAAGCACTGAAAATCTAGCGAGTGTTAATTATTCATTAAAATGTAACTTCATGCGTCTTGTAAAAAGCCATTTAAGGGGGATTGGTGGGCTGGGGGCTGGGGACCGCTCTGCTCTCCCCTCAGCCATTTGATGAATGGTACACACTGACTAAAGATGTATTGCAAAGAAAAAAAAACCACAGAAAACTAAACATTGCTCTTGTTTGTCTTATTTGTTCTTCCTAAACGTGACTTCCTTTGCTGTGCAACAGTGAGCTCGAAATGCCAATCTGTCTGACTGTTGAGCAAGCGTTGCTTTTCAACAATTTGAATATAATAGAGCAGAACGCTGATAAATGGTTAACTAATTTACCAAGAAATGTCTTGCTTGGATCAGGACAGCCAGATCACAGGGAGAATGAGGATGATGCCTGGAAATTGCACGCTTGAATTTGAATTTGATCTGCATCAGGTGTGCATTTATCCAGACTTGATGGTATTCATAATTACATGAGAAAAGCACATGAATAAAGAGTTGAGGATCTAGTTCTCTGCTGTGTAACTAATGTACCAGGTTTTTTTTTTTTGGTGGTATCTGTAGAATTATTAGCTTGTAAAATATTCTCTCTGTCAGCTGAATTTTAACCCGTTGACTGTGGGTCATTAACTTCAGAATTTTTCTCCCCTTCAGTTCTGAAGGTGGAACTGAATATGTAATATATGATCGCTCATAACATTCTGAGTCTTGGGAATCCGGTTTCCGAGCCAGCCAGGTCAGCAATATCCCTAGGCTCTGTTGATGACAGACCAGCCAGCCTGGCTCATTAGGACTTGCAGGAACACGGCTCAATTGGTACCTTTGCTCATATTTTACGTGTTGTCAGCTCCAATGGCTTTTGATATTGGCAGAGCTTTACTTCAAAATTATACGGTGACAAGTAGCACACGGTGAAGGTATTTCCTGTTAAATATCTCGACCGTCAAATCTTTAACACCTCCTAGGAGAACAAAAATGAGTTCCCAGAAATGAACCACATTATCCCGGAGATTGTGTGCCTTTGAATCCCATTTAGCTCCTGGATAACCCTGTGTTTTATCGGAGTTGAGTCAGCATTCGAAATATGCGTTCACTGACTCCCAACGAGAAGCAGCAATAAAAGTGAACTCCAGTTCTCTTCTCTTCTTCTTCAGAAGCAGACCAAAACTTACAGGTTTTCCTGCAAAACCAGCATTGATCCGATTTCAAACCTTTTTTCTTATAGGCCCGAAGAACCGTAACCTAAACCATTGTGAATGTTTTTTTTTTGTTTGTTTAAAAAAAAGGCAGAAGAAAGGAGGTAACGAAACGTTTCGAGAAACTTTCGAAAAATGTCATTACACAATCTGATTTTATGTGACCTACAGGAGATTTCATTGCACTGATGCCTGACCTTTAGAGCAGCTCTACATGCCCTTGGTACCATTACGTCACCCTGTGATCCATTAACTGCCAGGGATTAGTTGAACAATGCATCTCCAAATTTTCTTAATTGCCATCTCTTTGCGAGTAGCAAATCTTGTTTTCCATCTCGTTCCCCCATTCCCATTGCCTAAACTATTTCCTATTCCTCATTAGGCCCCCAGAACTCACCAAGTCTCCTGGCGAAGAGGGTTTCTGTGCCTCCCAACAAGTACCATAGATGTAACCTCAATGGCACTTGTACTTCAAAGTGTCGTACCACTTTTGCTGGTTTAAGCACAGATATGAAATTAGCAACTTAACAAATATCAAAGATTGCTTATATTGAACGCAATCTTAGATTATAAATAAACCAAAAGTTTTCTTTTCCCTGTTTAATAATAAATGCTGAATCTCGACAGGTGAATAATAATAATAATAATAATCCTTGCATTTGATATAGCGCTTTTCACATCTTCTCGACATCTCAAAGCGCTTCACAGAAGACTGTAAAGTGAATTGATTGTATATTTGTGGACGAAATGTCCTATTTATTCTGTACTTTCAGTGCTACTTCGAATGGCACCAAAATTGACATTACAAATGAGGTCTGGTTTGGGTTCCGTGATCTTTACCCGGAGAGTAATTGATGACTGAGGGGGTGGTTGAGGCCAGGACATTGGGTCTTATTTTAGTAACAGTTTGATGCTGTGATGGGAGGATGGCAGAGTGGGCGTTCTGGAAAGATGAGATCAGGTGGGCCAGAGGGCCTTCTTCATCCAAACCAGTCTTGCTATCTTGTCATCTGGAACCTGGATGAACCTGGATGGGGAAGTTTGCTTTGAGAAGACATCAGTTCACACGAGTGTAGTGCAAATGCAGATGAAGTGATTAATTTGTGCTCCTGTTTTAGGTATGATCCCAATGATTTCTCTGGCAGTACGTTGTGTGATCATCTCTAACTTTAGCACTTAGTGGAACTTAGTAGCCTAGAGCTCTTGTCTGCCTTTGGTGAAAGCCATTTTGAAACGCAACTTCAAGTACTGTTTCCTGCTCTCAGTTGCTTCACTCGTTCAACTTGGAAGTCAGAAGCTGATTTCAAACACAGTAAAGCAATTTATTAGACGTTAATCTGTTACTTACACTTTTATTGAAGCCAGTGGGCAGGACCTTAAACATTGCAGAATTGACAACTATCTGCAAGCAAGCAATGAAATGAAAAAGCTGCTCATCCCAGTTGATTAAAAGTAAATTAATGTGTTTTTTTTCACGAGTAACAATTTATTAAGAGAATCACTGCTTCATTTGTATTTTTGTATTTTTAAGAAATGTTTAAAATAATCCTCCTCTACTAATGTCACCTAAATATAAACGTTCTTAGATATTTCAAAAAGAAATTCCATCTGAACAGTTTCATCTGGTTAAAAGTATTCCAGTCTTATTTTCCCCTTAAGCCCTGAATTAAAGACATCCATCAATTATACTTGCCCTTGACATAGCCATTTTCTTCAATGACAATATTGATTGTAAAAATGCCCAGAAAATGGGAAAATATTTGGGTTGAGGAAAATAAATTCTGCAGATCGACATGATTGAGACAGCCAGAAGTTTTTCCAGGAGCACCCAGAAGTTCTCTTCCAAACTTCTGGGTGTTTCGGGTGTCCTGTGCAAAAAATGTATCATATCGGGAATGGTTGAAAGTGGGATTGTCACCATTATTGAATACATCGCTGAGCTCTCAACCTCAGCTGAAGTGTATGAAAGACAAGTTTTACTGCAGTTTCTAGTGTGACATTCCCATTGCTTCAAAAGAAAACTGACAGAATAACTTTGGCTCTGGATTGTCAAACTGACTGCATTTCAGATATTCACAAGAAGTGTGATATCATCTGAAGAAGGTGGTCTCGGCTCACTTAAGCTTCAAAAAAAGGCTGTAGCTTAATCGTAACCCATCACAAGGCGAGGTGCAAGTGGAGAAGGCCCTTTGGTCCATTTTATCTAATCTTTCCAGCACACCCACCCTTACTTGCCTTCCTAGAGTGGCAGGAAAACAAAATGGAAAATGTGTACTTGTAAAATGTCCCTCTTAGAAATTAGTTGAAGGGAGCTCTGTTTTAGCGAAGACCTGATTGAACAAGCTTTCTATTGTCACCAAAACATGTTGCCTGCTGACACCTTCTTTTATTCAGCAATGATCTTTCAGCAACAAGGGAGACAGAGGTAGACAGAAGCAAATTCAGGTTGGCATCGAAACAAATAAGATATTCAAACTGCCATGGAGAATAATCTTTTCCTTCCTTTAGTTTTGAATAATTGACACCCTGTTTTTTTAAAAAAATAAAGCAAACCAGATAGAAATAAATGTTGACTGTAAGGTAGAGGTAGGTTCCACTACTATCTAAAGCTTAACTGATGTCCTAAGCTATGAGAGCAAATATTGAGTTATTGATCGATGTAACCTGAATCCAAAGATTCACATGGTTATGTACTTTCCACACACGCACACGCGCACACACACATATATACTGTATATTTAAATTGCCCGACTACTATTTTCCTTCCTTGTAGTATTTATATTGCACAAAGGGTGAACTCATGTGACAGGACGAAGATTCTCACAGAGATATTCCCTGCATTCCCTGTACATATTTGGAGCGCATTAGGATCGGTAACAAACTCAGTCTTAGGCATTTTTCCTGCTCTCTATGTCATGAAGGGGCATCATTGTTTTTCATGTGATGTGGTGTGGTGTGCTTGTGCAAATCAATCTACTGGCTGCAGTGTAAGGCCAAATGCCTAAATAGATGAGTTCACGTGTTACGCTGTAGGAGGCGAGAGTGGATGTAATGGACAATCTTGAATGTGCTTTGCTCCATTGTCACTATATTTCTGTGTGTGTGTGTTTTTTTTTTGCGTTCCTGTGGCATTACTTTACCAACATACATTAAACAGCGTCGTTTGTGTCGAAACCCTAGCAGTTGATATCTATAGTATACTGTAGCTTTGTTGAAGCCTTGTTTTGTTTTCTCTTGATAAGAAAGCGCTGCGTGGCCCCAAAAAAAGATTAATGTTGTTTTTCTTTGATTTACAGTTACGGAAGAGTTTATGCTGCAGACCCCTACCACCACACACTTACTCCAGCAGCCACCTATGGCGTTGGTGCCGTGGTAAGTTTATTGCACTGTTTTATCTTGTTCACTTCTTCTTCATTCCTGCATGGGTCTTGCCCTTTTTTTTCTGTTTGTTTGTTTAATCTCAGCCACCGCATCCTCAAGTTTTAACTTAATTGAATTTGTCTCGGCCGCTAACAGCAGCTAAAACGCCACATTAATCCTACTAGTAAACTTGATGAATGTCTTAATTTCTTGGCAAATGCAATGCATGTAACGTTATTATATTTCTCATTTTCCGAGTATCACCTAGCTGAACGTTTTTGGCTTTTTAATGGAATAATTAGTCATTTTGATAATTAAATCCATCACTTTGTTTCAGAATGCTTTTGCACCCTTGACTGATGCCAAGACTAGGAGCCTTGCTGATGATGTCGGTCTCGTTCTTTCTTCATTGCAGGCTAGTATATACCGAGGGGGATACAGCCGTTTTGCTCCATACTAAATGACATACCATTAAATCTTCTGCTGGGGAAAAAAAGAAGCTTTTCCAAGGCCTGGGTATTGCAATACATGCAGTAGTGCATCATTTTAGCAACTCTCTCTCTCTCTCTCTTTTAAAAAAAAGGACAAATACAGCATTTTTTTTTAATCTTATACCTCAGATATTTTTTTGTTCTGTGTATTTTTAATATTGTGGGGCTTTGGTTTCTGAAGGTTACACGCACGTCCGAACGGCATCTCTAGAAATTGCTAGCATTTTTCACCCCGGTGGTAAAGGAAACGGCGAGATTATTGAGTTATAAGAGAGCTACAATCACCGAGAGCCAAACTAAAAGAGACGGTCGTGAAAGAAATTGCTGAAAAGTAATTCTTTGTGTGTGTGTGTGTGCGCGCGCGTGTGTGTGTGTGTGTGTGTGTGCGTGTGTGTGAGGGGGGAGGGGGTGGGGGGAGAAAAGGTTTCTCACTTATTTTATATAGGAGTATAAGTGACTAAAGCAGTCTTTTTTTTTTCTTGCGTTTCTTCTTCATTTCAATTCGTTTTTTTGCTTTCCGAAAGGGCGGGAGGGGAAAAGCGGTTCAGGGAAAAGGGGGCGTCAATCTGGAATTTAAAAAAAAAGTAGTCAAAAATAACAATAAAGGGCATCTCTGCACCAAGTATCTTGCTATCAACTGTCTTAAATTATTCACTATTTGTTCAAGCCAAAGGTTATGTTTTTTGGATGTTTTCTCGGCACTTGTACATAAAGTTTTAGTAGGAGCATCCGTTTGATTCAAGGTACTCCACCAGGCAGTATTCAGCAGTTCAATCATAGATAGGTCTATTTAAGTAAATCTGCTAGTTAGGCCATCAATGAGCATTCTTTTTTATATTACTTCCAGTATATAAATTATTGATATCATTGCTGACTTTTGTATTACGGGAGGGGGGAAGAGAAAAAAAAAACATTCAGAAAATGGTGATAAAGCATTGTTTATATTTTTCTTTTTTTTCAGAAGGAAAGTAATAAACTAGATTCTTTGTACCAGTAAAAAAAAATGTATAAAATAAATTTCAAATTGTGCAGTGGAGACGTTCAGTTATAGATTACACAGCCTATGATGTTTTAGAGTTAGCATAGTAGATCAAACTGTAAGACGTATCATTTTTATGGAATACATGATAATCATATTCAGATTTATATAAGCATTTTACAAGTATTGCAATCATTAAGTATAGATAATCATGGTATTTTGTCAGCTTGGTACTTTGAGACATGACTGTGTTGTGTAAACAAATTGCAATTTTTCATTGCTTGACAGCTCGCCTTATTTTGTCATGTTGTTTTTATAAGGAGGCCTCTTATGTTTGGACTGGACTTATATAAAAAAAAAGGAAAAGTCTTCACACTCGGGAAAAGAAATAAAAGCTTGGGTCTTGACAACATTTGAGTAAATAAAATGGGGGAAGTAGTCAGTTGTGCCTCACTGGGCCATTTTCAGTGTTTTAAAAAAAAAAGTGCAATGTAAGCAAGTTGTCAAGTCAGCTTTGTTCAAGCGCTCTTGAAAAATTGCAGCTTGTCTGTGCATATGCTAGAATCTGTTCACTTTGTCCTGTTTACCGGTACCTAAGTTGAGGTGTTTGTCACAGGTCTCCTTGTTTTTTGTAATAATGCAGCTTCAAAAAAAAAATCTTTTTCCTCTGCCTTTTTGCTGCAATTCTTAGTTAATACTCCTCATGTGTAGCGTGTTTGCCACCGTGGCAATCACTCGTGATTATCAACCCACAGCTGTGAGATACCTATGCGATTAAAAAAAAAACCTGCTGGAAAGTGTTGTGGCCAGGCTTTCTCTTTGTCATCGTATGTGCATGCAGTATGATCAGTTGAACAATAACCATCAATAAAATTTCACAAAATTGAAAGTACTGATAAGTGTCACAGTTTTTTTTTGTTAAACTCGAAGGTCTTCGAATCGAATGAGACGTCGACGGGCTTAATATCGCCGATAAACACGCTGTTCCGTTGTCTTAAGAAAACTGGTTCGGTGTGTGAAATCCTCCTGAAAACCCGGGAAAGGAATTTAAACAGTTTTAAAATATTTTGCGCACAGAGGTTTAAGACGCTGGTCTTTCACTTCTAGGACTTAGGTTCAAAAGCCGCTCACGTTGATGGTATGAAACTCTCTTCTGCCTGTTAGCTCTTAGGGTCTGACATGAAATGATTCGGGGACAGTCTTAATGAAATGAAGTCCTAACATCTTGGGCTCAAAGCATAAAACAGTTTGATTTCAGGATTGAATCCTACCCCGTAAAGCCACAGGAAGGCAGATTTGTAGTGAAAAATGTTAGGATTGAATTATTGGATTGGGATTGGGGTGGAGTGGTATGTGGCACCTTCTTCAAGGAGAGTTAAGATATTAACTGTTCATCCAACATTCCTGTTCCTGACGTTAAGCACTTGATGCTGAGATCGGGGGCATAAATGGGAGAGCATCCATTTTTCCCTGCAATGATGTGCAATCCCACGTAAAATTCACAAGATATTTTTGGGACAGAGTTTAATTTAGTTTTCTTTGCGAATAAAAACATTACAATAAAAACTTAGATATATTTAGCACCTTTCATGTCATAAGGACGTCCCAAAGTGCTTAAACTCACTATAATATTTTCATATTTATATGGGAACTTTTTTTGTCCCTCAACAAAATGAGGAACTTAAATATTTGAAATATTGGATGATGATAGCACACTGAGAGAGAAACTGGTCTTACAAACTCTGGAAGCATTGTAGGGTACATGTGAGAGTATTTGCATATGTGTGGTGGAAGCCAAACATTCTGGATATGAGCCATGCATATGCATTACTCCTAAGAAGTTCTGAGAATTTGGATTCCACTAGTTAAAATCTATAATTGGAAAAATGTTAATTTTTAAGTTAAAATAATTGCTGCTTCTTAAGTTATCCTGATTAAAGCTTCTGTGGCTTTTGAGATAAGTATTTCACTATCTGTTCCCCAATGCTTGCACATGGCAATTGCATTTTATTCATTTTTACCAATAATTCAGTTGATTTTACACATATTTAATTCCACCCACACTCAATAAGAAACCTTCAATAATTTTGACGAGCCATTAGAACTATAAAAAGCAGGAACCAGTTGTGTCATTTGTCACCATTACATGGCAAGGAGTTACATTTCATGGGATGGTCAAGACTGCAATGAGGCAATTAATAGTTGCACTTCACATGGGGCTCTTACAACCAAAAGACTTTTTATGTCGGAATGCTGTTTAACCAGTTGAGCCCATGGCTATTTAATAACACAACGCTCTGAAATGCTAAGATAATAATGTAAATCAAGGCACAGGTGAAACCTCTACCTTAATGTGTACACGTCAATAATCCAAATCCTGGGGATAGAGAAAACAACATATTTTTGTCTCCAGTATCTTATAACTACCATTGCTGAATTCAGAACACTCAGAAATATGTCCAAATACATTGTTTCAGCAATTATGGTTATACATAGTCAAGTAGACCTGCCCTCTTCAAAGGGTTGCTGATGCAAAGCAGATTTCTTTAAGGACTCTTCATTGACAGAAAACTCCTGTCTAACATGCTTTGGTAATGACTTTCCAAAGACAACCCTATTAAAGAGATCTGCTGAATATAAAAATCCAATGTAAGCAAAATTCTTCGAAAAGCACATCTTTAAACTTCTGAGTGACGAGATTACCTCAGCAAACCCGTTAAAATCTATTCCTGACATTGGTTAATTCCCTCTTGTTCAATTATTTACTGATGGTTTTACCCAGTGACACACAGATTTATCTTCTAATGCAAGCTCCCAGCTACATCTGATCTATTAGCAGTAAGCCGGGCCACATTCAAACACAGCCGTAGCATCTCAGCTATGATACCTGTAGCCAGATAGTGACTGCTGTGGTAAGCAGGTGTAATTGAACACCAGACTGCAGACATCGTGCTCTGACAAGGTGTATATCTAAGGTACAGTGGAGCAGTTTTTGTGTGTGATATACGTGGAGCAACCAGCACTTTGGTGTCCTGCAGCTCTTTGCAAGCGAGAGACCTGGGCTTGATTCCCGGCAGGGTGAAACCTTGGGCAAGTTTCCTTACTCCACACGCACGCCTGATAATAATCCCTCAAGAAAGAAAAACAATAATAAATTGGTCACGTCAATCCACGACTGTTTGTGGGACGCTGCTGTGCGCAATTGGCTGCCGCGTTTCGCCCAAAAATATACAATCAATTCACTTTACAGTATATTCTGTGAAGCGCTTTGAGACGTCTCAAAGACGTGAAAAGCGCTATATCAAATGCAAGGATTATTATTATTATTACTTTCTGTCACGAATAGCACAAACTTTACCCCGAATCCAATATACTAAACCGACAATCAACTTGTTTGCAGACGTTTCGCAGGTTACGACAAAGTCCCACTCGCAACCATGAGAGTGCCGGCGGAAGATGAAAAGCGCAACACTGGCAAATAGGCGTCTATCCCTCTCTCCACAGCCTTCATCCATCATTCCTCTGTGACTTCCCTCTCCTCAGCAAGTTCCGGCCTGATTCACGTCCCCCACCCTGATCCGCTTTGTTATCGGTGGATGAGCTTTCAGTCAATCATTCTGAAACTCTTGTCCAAAAGTTCCTTTTCCCTGCCCCTCTCTCCCTTGCCTATTTCAACCCGTCTGTTCACCATTCAACACCCCCCCACCCGCCAACACCTTTCCCCCACCCCCCACCTACCTCGGCTCGGGTTTCCAGTTAGCTGTGGTGATCGCTTCGAGATATCTTGCATTAGCTCCTTTGGCCATGCCATCCATTAATGGGATTTTCCCCGTTTTTATCACCAAAGACACTGAACAGAGCAGTATCCAAGATTCCCGACCTCTCAGTCCTTTTACTGAATAAGAATTATACAGAATCACGACACACAGAAAGCAAATGTTGACAAACATTAATAAATATGTCAGAACCTCTTATTGTGTCATATCACGCCTGACACAAACCAGAATCCTTTTAACCATTATTTCG